GCCATTTTGCCCATATGTTTCGGAACCCTCTGTAAAATCCACGGGAATCAAATCTTACCATTTCTTTCTTACCTCTTGTCACGTATATATAAAAGCGTCAACTCTATTAATCAAATAAAAATCAATTTAGCCGACGGTGAAGCGAGAACAGTTACCAATTTGCTTGTTATTCACATTTACATTTTAATTTTAGAACTAAAACAAATTTATTTAGAGAGTAGCAATTAATTGTCTATATAACTGCTTAATTACTTATTTTTTCATTCTTTTTCGTATTTTGCTCACCTAACATTCCTTCCATCCTCCCTTTTCCTTTCTTCTTAACAGCAACTATTCTTGGAAAATTCTCTGACTTCAGTACAACGTAACAATTATTTCACGTACTACATTCTATTTCTTCTGCATTGCTTTTTTTTTTGCTATTCGTTTCTCTCCTTTTCTTTTACAGTTATTTTATTCATTATTTATTTATATCTTTTGTGATCATGCAATTAAACAGAAGATTCCCGAAATCGAAAAAAAAAAAAAAAATGAAAAGATGGCGGCAAGAAATTCACTTTTTCAAAAAATTTATTTTCTGGGGAAAATGTCATGGTAGAATTTATGAACTGCGCATATTTGATTTTTATTTTCAAAGATGACAGAAATGTTAGAATTTTTATAAGCGTCTGTCAAATATTAATTCGTAACTTTTATAATGAACTTTATGAAGTGATATCCCCAGTTAGTCAGTTTAAGATAATTCGAGACAATATTCACAAAGATAGACAAATGATACTAACCCTACAATATTTAGCAGTTTTTACACGAAATGGATTGTTAGATATTTTTACCTCAAGATAGACGCCTAACATCTAAGATTTTTTACTTCATTTACTTTGTTTCTTTATGATGTGCCAGTAAGCATTTTTAGTTTCGCACAAAAAAATTACTAGGGACATCATAATAAGTTAATATTATTCACAAACTGGAAATGGAAGAATTTTAGCGGTAAGGGAATAGTGTGAACATTTCTAAATAATGATAAGAAACGAGGAATATTAAGGAAAATGGTAAAAAAATGCCATGTGTACGTAAAATCAGAACGAAACAGTTGAGATTTCTGGGATGCATAATGAGAAATGAAGGTTGTTAGAATTTGACAATCACAAAGCATTTTGAGTGCAAGAATAGCAGGGAATATCGCGTAAGCAACGGACATGTGTAACTGGATGTTAGAACATGGATTTGAATTGATAGTAAGGAGAAAACATCGTTAATAATTACAAGATTGGAAGTTATGGAGAGCCATGATCACCCACGTCCTGGAGAGACTTGGCACAAGAAAAAAAATGACCCTTTGCTTAATGCCATTCTTCTCATTAATGACCTGAAATATTTCCATGAACGGCGATTTAACATTTTCGGAAATGTCAGATGAAGTTGAGTCTGCAGTTGTAGAGCGCCTGGTGGACCTGGATGATGTGATAATTTGGAAAAAAAAACAAAAGTATGCACGAAACATGAAGAATGAGCAATTGAAATATTCGAAATAGTCGGATACTTTTCTGACAGCTCTTGAAATTCCCAGATCTTCATCTAATTCTTACTCTATCAATCGGCAATTTCCTTTGATTGCAACATGCGCGCGTTCATCAGCTTCTAGTGTTCTGCTCATTGAAGGCCTTCTCAATTTTGGATCAATTCCAACGATAGTAAAGCGATGGGACTAAAATTTATTACGGGCTGCGCTCATTGAATCATCCCCGAAAGCCCTCTTAATTATTTGAATAATTTCCGCGGACCAATGTCCATATTGAAGCGAAACTTGACTTATCTTCATTGTGCATGCAATGGTCATACAGTAGTCAATTTCAAACTTTGTGGTAGCTCCCCTGGAGACTGTATGTCCACGCATACGCAGTATGATGGTTTACCAAGTTACATTAAGTTCATGCAAGCGAACCTTTAAAATGGTTTGATACTTTGCGGACAAACACACACACACACACACATATATATATATATGTGTGTGTGTGTGTTTGTGTGCGTGTTTGTTTGAGTGTTATATATATATATATATATATATATATATATATATGTTTGTGTGTAAGTTTTAATATATTTTCTGGTTAAACATTATTTTTATAGATACAAATATTTAAGTAAATGCTCTATTTATAATAAACTGTATTAACTAAATTTAACAGTCTGAATGTCTGAGAAATTTCATAGAAAATATGATTCCTCCGACAGGAATAGAACCTGTAAGCTACACGGAACCGTCATATCGCCTCACGTGCTATACCATTTGGCTACAGAGGAAGTGACTTGTTAACAAATTCAAATTAAACAACTATTATTCATATTCTTCTCTAACGCTCATATCTTCTTTCTCTCTCACTCTCTCTTTTATATATATCTATCTTTCTCTATATATATATATATATATATATATATATATATATATATATATATATATATATATATATATATATATATATATATATATATATATATATATATATATACCTTTTATCAGAAATGTTATCGTGCTCATTTTCTATGTCTGAACAAAAAATGTTATCGTCCTCATTTTCTATGTCAGAACAAAAACATTGAATTCTACGTTTAACGCTGCGTTAGTCACATTTGGTGTTTTGTAACCCGAAAGACTTTTAACATTCGTAGTTCCTAGTTGGTATTTTTTTTCTTTTGCTCCATTCCACTACTCTTCTCGCTCATTGTGGGTATGTAAAACGCGGTGAGACGCAGTTGTAGCACGGTTTTTACTGGAAGCACACGCTAATATCCATTTTCGAAAATCTGAAGTGACTAACACAGAGTGAAAGAATATTATTTTTTCCTAGCGAATATATTTAATTATTTATATTCAGATTTTTTTAAAGACATCGAAAGATTACAAATCTAAGAAAGTTGGTACATTCATTTCTGGTTTAGATTGACGGATATTTGACGTTGCGTTCTCTGTGGTTTCAAATTTAGTGTATTGCTTCTCCATGGCTCGCTTCTATACAAGGCTAGAAAGTTTCGTTTACCCTGCTGTTTTGCCCATTGCTGGAGTAGATAAATGGATTCATGATTTTTTTCTGCGAAAGAGCCCGCAATAAAGAAACCATGAATGTCAATACAACTCACCAATTTTAACACATGCGCACATGCATTCAGAATTTACTTACGTGTCTTAACGATCAACAGTCGAAATCATCAAATACCAAATTTTGAAACATATTTTTTCCGAGAAAAGCATGGAACTTACGGTCACATTTTGTTATTTTAATTGTAAAATGATAAGAGCTTACTGCCAATCGAGTATTAATCAAGTCTAGGTACCATAAAGGAAAGTTCATCAGAACAATTACCATGAAGAGGATTTGTAGAAAATATAGAGGGAATCTAAGTTACGGCGGTGGGAAATAGATGCCAAGTTAGGACCAATAACATTGCAGATTCTTCTTTGGATTTCATTGTGGTTTAAATTTCAGTTTTTCCGTAGCAACAATCTAAACTTCAAAAGTTAAAAAATAATATACAAAATTAACAGTTTCTTCAATTATAATATTCGGTTATTGAAAAGGAAAAATTATTATTAAGATATCGTTAAACAAAAAGAAATTTACATAGATTATTTTTATTTGCTTCTAACTTTTGAGCTGGTGTCGAGAATTCACCTTATGTGAAGTAAGCGTGATAATCTTAGTAGCAATTAACTTTGAATCATTTCTACTCGCTTCGTGTTGAATCTATCACGGCTTTGAATTTATCTCAGCACATCAAATGTCTGCGTGTCCGTATACATCAGTACGAAGATAGTTAAGGTGAGCAATTATGGGAGATGATTTGAGTCTCAGTCTCGTAAACTGTAAAGATAAATTCATTCCTCATTGGGTGCATCATAATTATAGGTGGTTGATAACGTTGGCGCCAGCTAACAAATGTCAGAAGAGATGTGTGTTGATTGCTGAAAGATAGGGATCAACGCAAAAAATAAATGGATTTTCTTAAAGATCGTAATTGCTTGAAAACAAAGGATCGATATAAGATCTGATCGATTGTCCCCGCTGGCAAGCCAGCCAAAACTCCACTCTTCATGTGTTTAACTGCCTCCAGAAAATTAGGGGAAGGAGGTTGGTTTAGTGATCGCGCTGGGAGTTAATCGTCTTCGATCTCGTATTTGTCCCTAATGAAACTTGTGGGACGATCTGCAATTCAATGAGATGCGCGGTTTGCCGCCGGCGAGCATCGCAATTAGTGAGTCATTTTGATTGGGGTTATGGTAATCAACCAGGTAACACACTAAAGGCTCTTTCAAAATATCGTTCGACCCAACTATGTGTTGGTTTAAAACTGATATATCAGTAGAATGGTGGTCAAAGCGCCCAAGGTGTTTCTCTATAGAAATTCAAATCTACGGTTGTACGTGAACGGAGAAAATGTCATTTTATTAAGGATATCAGTTGTTTTAAAGAGACCTATTCCCGTTTTATCTGCTGAACTTGTCTTTTAAGCACATGATAAACAATGATGATATTCAATCAATATTCGTCGACTAAAATTAAATATATTTCTATATTAATAGAATCGGGAGATAAATCTTACTTTTCATTTTCTCTTCTGTTATAATACTGACAATAATTTTGGAATTGTAACTGAATGGAAATAAACCAATGTCCCAGAAAAATGTGTTTCTATATAAGACACATTATAAAGTCCAGATATCAAAAGTTATTTGCTTATTTGATAGTCGTTTAGTAATTGTTAAAAATCGTATCCATTCAAAATCTCTTTACAACGGAACGAGAAGAATCTAACTTAAATAAATACACTGATCGAAATTCACTGAAGGTCACCCGGATGGAAGAAAGCAAAACTGGTGAAACGCTATAATCGTAACATAGAGTCATAGTACAAGTGAAGATAACATAAATGAAGGTAAATCTTCATTCCAGGAATTCAGGCAAAATAGTCTCTAGAATTCTGAGGCTTATAAAAATACCACTTGAAAGACCAGTTCCCGTAAGATTGCCGAAGTTAAGCAATGACAAGCCTGGTTAGCACCTGGATGCGTGATTGCTTGGGAATACCAGGTCCTGTAAATTTGGATGTCGGGTGGTGTAATGGATAATCCATCCTGGGTATGACGATAAACTACATCCACGTCCTAGGTAAGACGATAAACTACGTCCAGCAGTAAGGCCACTGATTAGGAGGTTTTGAGGAGCGTGGTACCACCTCATAATTGCTGGTGTTCCCAGGTCCAACCTGACCCGGGGTGGTAGCACCTGTTAGGGGTCCAAGCTATGGGCAAATACTTAACACCCAAACTTGTGTAAAAATAGGTTTTAATACCAGACTTTGTAATAAAAAAGTTACTAGCAATAATTTTTGAAGGAAAAATTATTATCAGCAATACTTAAAAAAAATAAAACAGTAATACAAACAACTATAAATTCTTTGAAAAAAATTGGAGAATGGAACTCAGAATACAAAAATGGTAAAAAGCATTATAAAAGTGTAAAAATAAGTTTTAATACCATAAATGCTTTGTAAAAATTGGAGAATGGAACTCAGAATACAAAAATGGTAAAAGCATTATAAAAGTGTAAAAATAAGTTTTAATACCATAAATGCTTTGTAAAAATTGGAGAATGGAACTCAGAATACAAAAATGGTAAAAAGCATTATAAAAGTGTAAAAATAAGTTTTAATACCATAAATGCTTTGTAAAAATTGGAGAATGGAACTCAGAATACAAAAATGGTAAAAAGCATTATAAAAGTGTAAAAATAAGTTTTAATACCATAAATGCTTTGTAAAAATTGGAGAATGGAACTCAGAATACAAAAATGGTAAAAAGCATTATAAAAGTGTAAAAATAAGTTTTAATACCATAAATGCTTTGTAAAAATTGGAGAATGGAACTCAGAATACAAAAATGGTAAAAAGCATTATAAAAGTGTAAAAATAAGTTTTAATACCATAAATGCTTTGTAAAAATTGGAGAATGGAACTCAGAATACAAAAATGGTAAAAAGCATTATAAAAGTGTAAAAATAAGTTTTAATACCATAAATGCTTTGTAAAAAATTATTACCAGAAATAAAATTTTGGAGAAAAAGAAATTATTACCAGAAATATATTTTTGAAGAAAAAGAAATTATTACCAGCAATATGTTTTTGAAAATAATATTACCAGCTATATATTCTGAGAGAAAAAATATTACCTGAAATAGATTTTTGACAAAACAAAATATTACCAACAAACACACCTTTTTTTTATCAGACTATCGCTATGAATCTATTTCAAAATTTTTGTTGGCATTAAATGACCCACTGAGGTTGATATGGCATGAAACAAAACAACCAACCAACCAACGTAATGGATAATGGCTCAGAATGGCTAAACAGAGAGTCTTGTTCTAATTCCAGTTGGTTTATTTATATTACCTCACGCGCAAACCTCTTCTACCCACGGATATGGGTTAATTAGTAAGACTTGTATCATTAAATCATCAACTGAACACGCTACCCACATACATAATTGAATTATAGTGATGAAACCTTGCACAGAAGCATTCACACTTTTTCAATTAACGGAATAGACATAATATTCTAGAAGTTCTCTAAAGAGTCCGTCCCTAGTTTTCAATTCAGAGTTGTCTTTCTGTAAAGTTCTCAGTTTGTCCTTCCATTTAATTCATAGCTTGGGATGTGGGTTTAAAGGAAAGGATTCATACCTTTCACAAGGGCATTTGTGCGAAAGTGAATGCACGTTGAATGTAATTCGAACTTGGCTTATCGATTTCTCATTTTGAGCCGCGATCCATTAAGTTCATCAGCACCATATATAGTGATTTTCCCAGTGTAGCTTAGATGTGGCACACGGCCGAAACTAGGGGCCACCCAGTGAGGATCAAACTCACTGCTCAGTCGTAATTGTTCTAGCGAGACAAGCTCGCTAACCATTACACCGCCTCGATTTGTCCCATCCGCGCCATATATAATCGGTTCGTCTGTAAATAACATAAAACATAAACAGATCAATAACCAACAAGAAAAATTAAAATAATGGCTTTAGGACAAAAATCATAGAATTTTATATTTTTTTCATTTCGATTGTATGATGATAAACTATATACAGGAGAAAGGCCTCTGATCGGGAGATTGGCGCTTTTGAGGATTGTGGAGCCACCTTTAAATTAATGTTGGTATTATCTGTTAGGCTCCCAGCTATAGACAAATAGGGAACCTCCAAACAAAAACAAAACACTATGAAATTATAAAAATACCAGCAATACATTTTATATAAAATTATTACCAATACAATGTTAAAGCAAAATGATTAGCAATAAATTTTATTTGGAGTTGAAGCCATAAAATTTTCTTCAAAATATTTAATTTGGGCATTAAATAAAATGGGAGGTTAATATGCTGCTAAACACAATCAACTGATCATTTTACCCGAGGTTACTAACCGAAATATATAAACTATTTATTATTGAAGCGCGCGCGCTGGAACACACACACACACACACACACACACACACACACACACACACACACACACACACACACACACACACACATATTTCTTTCGTTCTGACCCGAGGAAACCTATCTAACGAAGGTAGATAGGTTTGTTTTTTTTTCAATGAGGATCAAAATTATGTCTCAATTTAATGTTTTTGTTCTACGCTATTCAGGATCTCCCGATCGTCACTGTCATTTTCAATAACTAATTGTTGCCAGTATCGTAGATAAAAATTATATTACCTCCATCCTATAATTTCATCTCTATAAATTTATGTGCACTCACTTGGCCCGCTGTTCTTCTTAGCATGGGAAAACCAAACAAAAAAATTAACATGACAATATAAAAAAAGGGGTCGAGCACTATTGACTGCCGCAGTTCACAAACCCCGCTGAATCACGGACATATGTTGACGTTTTATAACTCATCCGAGAAATGTTTATGGTCCAGCGCTCTGTTTTAGAATCGAGTTTTAAAACAAGGCAAACGCAACTACCGTTCCTTGAGACGATGCCCCGCCCTATTTTGTTGGATTATACAACAGCGAACACAGTTTCTGCATCAGAGAATGAACAGCAGCATCTCATGGGAGAAAGAGAGAGAGAGAGGGATTGGTTGATCTATGCCATATTCAATAAAATCATCGGGGCGAGGACCGCCAGCGACTATTTTACGGCCGATGGACACATCAGGTCACAGCATCTAGAACCAAATAACTCAAATAATAATAGCGACATGAAGAAGAAAATAGATGTAGGAATGAGTAAAAAAAGTTTCAAGTTGAGAACTATATTAAATAAGAAGAATGCGGAAAAGGGTTAAAAAGCCGAGCATGTAGAATGATTACTGAGTAAGAACGTGAGATTAACTGAGGGAATTAAAGTGCATTAGCGAACAAGAGAACATGTAATTAATAAGAATGATAATTACTGAAGTTGATAAAGGGAAACAACTGTAAAAAGCAAAGTGAGAATTCCTGAATGAAAAAATAAAAAGAGTAGAAAATATAAAATTATTGAAATAAAATAATAAATTGTAAATGAGAAGGTAAACATAAAAAAAAAATCATATTGTGAGAAAAATAAAAAGGAAAAAGTGGAAATAAATGATTATTTAATAAAGATGATGGTGAATATAAAAATCAAAATCAAACAAATCGAGAAAAGTTTAAAGAGAAAAACCTCTCTCGAGAATAAAGTGTGTATAATTATTGGCAGATATATCTCAAAATACCACCGATTCTAAATAGGATATTTTCAGGTGATTTGCGATATAGATTACATGTAAAAATTAAATAGTTATATGCAAGGTGTAATGAGTTATAACTCTGAGTAAATAATTATAAATCACTTAACATTTATATGCCAAAAATAGTCGTAAAAATGAGAAATAGTAAGACGTAGAAACAACAAAAGGATTATTATTTATTATCTGGTTGTTATGTGGTGTTGGTGAAACGAGAGACGGTAATAATGAGTAAAACTGTGATTTGGGAGTCAAATGTGAATTAAATATGGATCGGAAACCGGCTGATTGATAAGATAAAGAATAAGTAAAGTGTATACATTCGTTATCATGTTTTCTTTTTATAGATAATTGAGTTGGAAAAATACAAGAAGTATCTGGGGCTTTCTTACCTTGAATTTTTTGAGTGTTAAAATATAAATGTTGCATTGTTGTTGGAAAAGGAGATGAAAGCTTCATTGACGCACGTGTTAACAAGCTGTCTGTGTGAACTGCTTGTCCAATAGTGAGAATATCACGAGTTTGTGTGTAGATGATAAAAGTGGCATCGCTTCTCAATGGTTTAAAATGACTGAATTAATGATAATTATAATTGTTATACTTTATTTTATTATAATTTGTTTTTGATACTATAATTAAGTTTTATTTTTTATGGATACGACACTGTGACACTATAATTAATTTTTTTATTTGTGTATTTCTTTCTGGACACGAGACTGGGTGAATAAAAAAGAAATAAAATGCGTTTTATTATATAAGAAATAATGAACACAGTGAAACATGATGTACATCAAGATATAGCTATTATTGACAGGTCCAGATCCAACTTCACAACATAGACACCACCTCTTTTAATGGCTGTTTTCCATCTACGACTGGGGCATGTATCCTAGCTTCTCTAAAACTCATGAGGTTGCCGATGTAGCTAATTTATTACAGCAGTTCTCACTTCTTCATCATTACAATAACATTTGCCCCTCAGTGCTTCTTGCATTGGATCAAAGAAATGGAAGTTCGACGGTGCTAAGTCCTTCGACAATCCTTTCTTAGTTTTCACATCAACATCGCTTGTTAGCGATAGAATTCAGGTAAAATTCATTACTTCGAAAAGTAATTTTTAGGGCAGGCAGTTATACCAATCATTAGAATTTCGAAGAGATCTAAAATGGTCTGCACAATCCCCACTATACTGATTGACTGCTTGGAACTAGGCAAGATAAATGCCAGTTCACAAGATGCATTATATATACAGAGTGCACTGGATGTCTCAATTACGCAAAAATGAAAATAACAATGACATCTCATTTTAACAGATATAT